AAAGTAGCAGGATTGTTATGATTTAGCTCTAAAACATCTCATGTCTTCATTATGAATTTTCCATCTCTAGTCAAGCACACATATTTCCTATATTCAAAGACAAAAGGTTTGCTGCATACCACCTCAAAATGCAGGAAATTGTGTTTCAGACTCTAAATTTCGGTTTTAGCAACAGGTTACTTGTGCTTCTTTTCACGCAGCGTTTTTTAACAGCCTCGTCCGTTTCTGCAGGCTCCGTGTGACGACGACCAGGACTCGTCCGACAGAGAGGAGGGGGAGGTGGATGGAGACGGCCCCTCTGAGGTCCCCACCGTCCGAGTTGCTACAGCAACCCTGAAAAGCCACCAAGGTGTGGTGATCGCAGCCGACTGGCTGGTTGGAGGCCGGCAGGTGGTGACCGCTTCCTGGGATCGAGCCGCCAACCTGTACGAGGTGGAGACGTCTGAGCTGGTTCACACACTGACCGGTACGGCTACTGGCTGATAGCATTGTAGGAAAATGTTACAATGTTTTCCTGTTGTTAAATGGAGGAGAAAACCTGCTGTTTTCTGAAATTGTTTCAGTCCAAGCTGAACTATCAACATGTCGCCAAATTACAGCCTTTAACCTCAATATAATCATCCTTCCACGAGTTTGAAGGAGGAAAAATATGTGGCCTTGGAGGGTTTTGTAGATTGAAACTCTGAAAGCAGCAGCATCCATTTGTCTTCATGGGTCATCACCTCTAACCTGAATTCTGTAGTAAGGATCCCCGCAGCATGATGCAGCCACTACCATGATTCTGCATAAGGTTAAACCCTTGCTATTATTTTTTTTTTTTCATAAAATCCCAAAAGTCTCTTCTTAGTTGCTCCTATAAATAAAATCCATGTGTTCAACCAACACCTGCTAACTGGTGCAGGACTCCTCAATGCATCATCCAGGAACAGAAGGTCTGAGTATGCCTAGATCTGCCAGACAGGAATCTGTTTTATTTTTTATTTTTATTGAGATCAAACTTTGACGCTGTGTGTGCAGGCCACGACCAGGAGCTGACCCACTGCTGCACCCACCCCACCCAGCGATTGGTGGTCACTTCATCCAGGGACACCACCTTCAGACTGTGGGACTTCAGGGATCCGTCCATTCACTCCGTCAACGTCTTCCAGGGACACACCGAGTGAGTCTCTGCTCTTCCATGTGTCTTCTTCCTGTCAGTTTTCCCCTGCTGGGATAATGCAGTCTTTCTTTCACCCACTGGGTGGTGCTGTTTGGTCTCCCAGTCCGGTGTTTCCCTCCAGTCACCTTCTTCCCTCTTTTTTCCTTTAGCATTAATCTGCAGACATTATTGCTCTAAGCCAAATCCTCCACTTGCCTTTCATTCGTTACTGAGCACTTCTCCTCACTTGGACAGTTTTCGTCTCTGTCTCCTATCGCCGTCTCTTCCTACCTCTCTTTCTCCCTCGCTCTCCTGTTCATTCATCTGTCCGTTTCAGCGTTAATCCCCCACTCTGTGTAATTTGGCACTTCGCTCGCTGTTAACACTCAATTGCAGCCGCTCGTTTCAAAGCGACGGCTGTCAGGCTTGTCTGCGGCTTTCAATGCCGCTGCTCTTTAAAAGCCGTAAGAGAGGCAGCGCGTGTGTGTTTGTTTGCGTGTGCATGTTTACGCGCATGCCTACGTGTGTCTCGCTGGCTGCCGCTCTCTGGCAGCCTTTGATTGCAGGCGGGGGATTACGTCGAGCTCATTACGTACAATCCCAACATGAATAATTCCTGCAGATCCCACTCTAATTCCCTCCCATAGACAATTGCAGTAATGAGATTAGGCACCAGTGTTTCACAGTTAACAGCCCTCCTCCTTTCCTCTGTCCTTACGTCCTTCCCATGTGGCCTCTAGGCTTTTGCCCTTCCTGATGCTTTCAAAGCAGCAAACCTACCTATAAAATCCAGCCGCTTGTGAAAACGACACGCATTACCTTTTTTAAATAGAGGAAAAAAAACTTTCTTCCTGCTGCTTCTACATCAATGGTTAGGTTTGAACATTTTATATATGCTTTGGAAATGGATTTAAAGAAAAGTTCTGGTGTTAGAACAAAGTTAGAATATCATAGAAAGGGTTTATTATTTTTTGGCTAATTTTAATAAGTTGAAACTCATATTTATGCAGATTTGATTAAATAATGAGGGAAATATATGAAGCCTTTCTTGTTTTTATCCTACGGAAGAGGATTAGGGCCACTGGGAAAAAAAAAAAAGTTTGATTTTTAACTTTTATTTCAGTTTAGTATGGGAAAAAAGTCAGAACTTTTTTCTCAGAATTCTGACTGAATTTTGACAACAAAAAAAGTCAGAATTTTGAAATTAAAGTCAGAATGCTGAGAAAAAAAGTCAGAATTCTGAGAAAAAAGGTCAGAATTCTGAGATTAAAGTCAGAATTCTGACTTTTTTCCTTTACTAAACTGAAATAAAAGTTAAAAATCAGCTTACTTTTTTTTTCAGGCATGATTGTTTCAAAAGTTATTTATATTTCCTAACATTAGATAAAAAAATATACCACTGAACAAAAATGTGGAGATTCTGATAACTTTGCTTGTTTCTGTGAAGTTAGTAATCATTTGGTTTAGTTGAGAGTTATGATTAATAGTCTTAACAATCAATCACGATTAATAAAGTCGAAAAACCCCCCAAAAAATACAATGAATTGCGAGAATTTTTATTTTAACTAATTTCTTCATCCTTTTTCTTCTATTGGAGCATTTAAATAAAATCAAGGAATATGAATAAATACAGATCCCTTGGGATCGAAATATAGAAAATGTACTTCCTCAATCCCAATTTGACTGTGAAAGTCGGTTTTTGTTGCAAATTTTTTGAAGAGAAAATTGTTTATAATGATTAATAATAATCATTATATTTATTCAAAAACATATTTATTATTAGAAAAATATCAAAATGATTGTATCCTAATAAAAATTATTAGATTTCACTTTTTGTTTTCTGACATCTCTCTAGCGCCCCCTGGCCTCCACTACTTTTACATTTAAAAAAAAAAATAAAATGTAGGCATTAAAATGACAAGAAAAGATTAAAATATTTCAAGCCTTTAATTTGTAATTAATTAAAACCAGTAATAAAACTTGAACTTTAAGGATGTCCCTTTAGGTTAAAGGTCTGTATGTAGAGAGCTTTGATCTTTCCCCGTTCTCAACAACCCACCTAACTCAGAGGAACGGCTCTGCACAGCTGAATGTTTCTGATTTTCTTTGTGCATCTAAAAGCTTCAGGATGGTAGAGATGTAAGCCTAGAGTTTGGCATCTTAGTTTATCCCAACTTGGATAAAGCATGGCTTAAATTACAAGGTAAAAACCTCTTGAAACAGTGGAGGGACTCTGGCGTTTCAATCATGTTGCATTTAAACCTAAAATGCGTGTGATATATAAGAGGTTAGGGAAGAAGCTTAAAATATCTCTACTCTAAGTTTGGAGAAGGACCAGATGCTTCATCTTGAGTTGGAAAAAAAAGCCTAAACATCTGTTTTGATGTTTAAATTCCAAATATATTTTGAAAAAAGAAAAGATTCTGTTCTATTAAAGACGCCGACCTGTCGTTGAGGTTAGTTGGTGACTGTCAAATGAAATTACAGTTAATTAATGTGCCTCTCTTTAGAAAATAAAGTAGATATTTTAGACTGGGCACAGGTGGATCCACAGTTTAATATTTGTCACTATTAGTTAGCAGTGAGCTCGAATCGTCTGCCTTTCTCACTCCTTTCCCTGGATCTTCCTCATGGCATAATGTTGGAGCTTGGATGACATAAACGCGCCATCATTCCTGTAAAAGCTGCAGTCGCAGATAGAAACGATAACGGCCTAATAGAGGCAGAGCCTCTCGCTTCCACCGCCTTCACCGGCAATTACGGCTAACGCTCCCTGACAAGCGGAGCTCAGCAGCTCAGAGTGCAGCATCCACCCTCCGTCCCACCGCCCCGCCGTAATTGCAGTGTAATGACAGCCGCACGTGAGCTAAGAAAACGGCCGCGAGCAAACCAGAAACGACAGCGCGCTTGCTCTACAAACGGGATGCCATGTCAGGTTTGTCTCCCCTTCCATCGATGGCTTCCTCAGACGCTGTGATTGCGCTCCGTTGAAGCGTGCACGCATGCATGTGTGTGTTGCCTGCAGATTTGCTATCCCGTCTCCAGAGGAACACTCCAGCACTTATCTGGTTCTCAGAGGCTGTCAGGTTTAACACAGAGCAGCAGAACCACTTCTTCTACATCTCCTCTTTCATTTACATATCAAGCTTTAATGTGTTAAACACCAACATTTTAAGATGCTGTGAGGTTTTCCACATGCTTCAACGTCAACGCAGAACAGCTACATGTTTTACACACAGCAGATCTGTGTGAGTTAAGATTTAAAAACAGACTTCTGAAGAAATGGAGTCAACGTTAATTTCTGCTTTCGTTTTTCTGACTGCATCTGTTCGGCAGACCGGCACACACACAGTTTGCAGGTTGCCTTCCAAATGGAGTCCAGCTGTGGTTTAATGTCAGTATGAATCCAGCTGTTCTGTTTCTAGTGAGCAAACAGCTTCAGGAAAGCTGAAAAACATGAGAAAATGAAGAGTTTACTCCATCGTTTTAGAGCTAAAAAGAGCATAAGACATGGACGTGTGCCTAGTCTGAGCAGAGAAGCAGCAGAGGGGCTCATGGTCGCTCTGGAAGAGCTGCAAATCCCCCCCAACTCAGGTGGAAGCATCTAATAATAGTTGACACAGCACATGTGACCTTTAATTAAAGAGCTGCAGGTAGAATCAATCAAGGGGTTCGTCTGCTGCAAGGAAACATGCAGGGAATTGATCTCCAAATTAAAACACGTTGATGGCAGCATCATGCTCTGGGGGTTGCTTTTCTTCCGTGCTGAAGATTTAAGAGCTGTATGTGTTACTTCTGGATTATTTATTCCCTGCTTTGTGTGGAATCCCAGTGAAACACTCTGCTTTCCGTCTGCAGACATATGTTAATGGGTGTGAAAACTTTTGGAAGACTCATTTAGAAATAATAGAGGAAGAGATGCACTGGTATTTATTATGTGTTTCCTCCTTTATATATAATTACTCCACTGATGTCAGACTGATGGCTTCGTTTTTTTGGCCCTTTAATCTGAAGGTGTCCTGACCTTGGCTGTCAGCGACCAGCCGAGCATTAAGTACCCTCCTCCCCTCCTCACCGTCGTCATGAAAAACCCTTTAACCTTAATCAACCTTTTAATCAATTACCTTGTCTGATTACGCAGCGTGCTCACCTCCCGTCGTCCGCTCCTCTTGTATCCCCAGCAGAGCCGTACCCTTCAAAGTCAGGAGGCGCTCCGTATCCGTGCAGCTCTCTCCTCCTGCCCCAGCCTCTAATCGGGCCGGGCTTGGGTCGCTAATTAGCCCTTAATGCCACGTCGATTTGAATTAATGCAGGAGCTGGAAAAGAGCGTTTTGAATGTGGGGAGGGGAATAAAAATACTGTTTACTATAGTTAATCCCATCTTTTTTGGAAGCTTCCCTCCATGAACAGACAGAAGCTAAAGGGAAACTGGGATGGGGTGAAATATTACAGCTTTGTTGAATCCTGTCTTTAAAGGGTTCATGTGGAGGTTTTATTGGGAGTTGATATTCTAATTATTCCACCAAGATGACACGGTGATGTCAGACGGCTTCTGATGGGGGCCATACGGCCTGCTTCTGCTAATTATAGAAACCACAACTCAGATTTTAAAACATGTTGATCATTGTTTTTAGTTAACTGGTTCTACTTTACCTAACCTCACATTTACACATGATTTGAAATCTAATTTTTAATCGATGAGCCAAATGATTTTTATTAATGAGGTAAAATCAAAGCCTTTTATCCGCTCAGTTTGTTGCTGTTCTCCATATAAAATATTAGATTCAATCATTTCCTCCTTATCGGAAATTTTTATGAATTTTTTATTTATTTTTCTAACTCATTGATCCACTTCTTAACACACCTTTTTCTTATCGATGTTTGCAGCCGTTGCAGGTCGCTTTGCTTTTTTAAAAATCTTTTTTTATTGAAGCATGTTTATCTACCTGTTAATTTTACAGTAGAGGAAAGATGGGAAAAAAAAGACTGATAATTTATTCCGACAACCTTCTTTTTTTCTTACCCCCACTGTGTAAAACCATTAAAATCTGCACATATTTTTATTATATTCAAATGTTTCTTTCAAGGGTAGATCAGGGGTGACTGGTCTGTCAGCTGGAGCTTAATCTTGTCTTCTTAACTTCTTTAAACCTTTTATTTTCCTCATCATATTTTGTGAGGATGTGAGGCCGCTCTAGAAATTGAAGCAAAAATCCTCATTTAGAGAGACTTTAAATCTAGAAAACCTTTTGTCTTTCTTTTTTTTTAAACTCGGTGAAATTCTTAGAACCGCAGCATTCAGCATGTCACCTTCCAGAGAGTGAAACCTTGGTGATGTAATCAAATATGTTGCGTCTCTCAGCGCCTGTTCAGTGGATTCCAGTGAACATGACCTGGATCCCTTCCTGCAGCAACAGTAGGGCTGGAAGGGGAGGAGTCTGGCTGGAAACAAAAAAAAAAGTCCCTTTTTCATTTGGAAAGATAAAAACTGATGTTTGAAGCTTTAAAGATGGTATTTTAGCTTATTTATGTCTGGATGTGCTGCTTTTTGCTCTGCAGCACGGTGACGTCTGCCGTCTTCACTGTGGGGGACAACGTCGTCTCTGGAAGCGACGACCGGACGGTGAAGGTGTGGGATCTGAAGAACATGAGGTCGCCAATAACGACAATCCGCACCGACTCGGCTGTCAACAGGTGGGTGTTTACTTCCTTTTAAATTCTTATACCCCATTTAAAGGTGGCGTAGAAGATCTTAAAAAATCGGTTCTATATATTTTTGAACATACACAACCATGCCTCTCCCTTCAGCACACCCCTTGAAACCACGTCTTCAAAACGCATTAACGCGCATGCTGTCTGTCGAGGTGGTCGGATGTTCTGAGATCGAGAACGAAACAAGCAGAGACGCAGTGCTCGTAACACGAGCTAACAACATAACAGTGGCTAAAGCTTTACATTGACAGCATGGGATTTGATGGTCAAACCATGTTTACTTATCAGAGTGAAGCCAGAATAGCGGACTGGAGGTAGATTAAAAATTCCTTGCTTTGTAGGTGTGGAGCTGGGGTAGTTCCTGGCCAATCGATGTCATTACTGACAAAAAACACACATTTGTACCGTATAGAGCTAATCTGACTAAATGTTTAGATGCACGACATACTTGGCTTTGAACTATGTAATGTGACGCAGTTCATGTGGCCTCACTGGTCCTTGCGCCTGCACGAGAATCGGGGGGCGATTCATTCATGTGTCAGGGCAAGCACACGGGGGGAGGGAGAAGCAGACGACCTTGATTGACATGTCAGGAACCAATAGTGGACCACGTACCGTGCTTTGTGATTGGTGGACGTTACTCATTGATTTCTAACTGTAGCAGGGACCTTTTTTTTTTTTTCGTTTCACTTCCAGACCTTTTATTTCACTGCTTGCTACGCGGCTGTGGGGAGATCTTCCAGGGTTCCCGCGGGTCTTAAAAAAGTCTTAAAAGGCAATGAATTCTTCAAAATAAAACTAAGGCCTTAATTGGTATTAAAATGTCTTAAATCAGTCTAGGTCTTAATTTTTAAAACATCATCAATAGGATTATTTTTATTATTATTTACATTTGTAATCTAAATAAAACATTAAAATTGACCTTTTTTTTATATATAAAAAAAAAAAATGGCTCGCCATTATTAGTTCCATCCGGCCGGGACATTTGGGAGATGCACAATTAACTTTTTGTCTGGAAAATATGAGAAAGTGTAAATGTAACGAAAATTGTCTCCAGCCAAGAGTTTTCTCCATGGCTAAAACCAGGGAACATACATGAGGCACAGTGGATTTTTGGCAAGAAGTCATTCAAGCTCGGAACGATGGGAATTAAGGCAGTGGAGTCGCACATCGAAGCATAAAACACAAAGCGTCAAAATCGAGTTCCCGAGAAACAGCCGGTATTTCTCAGTTTTGTTCCACCCTTGTCTCGGCAACGTCTCCACTTATCACCAAATCAAACAAACTAAGAAAACAATACAAAGAAAAATAGCTGCAAAAAAGACTTAGCACTGGTTATGTTGTGGCTTTAAAACTGATTTGTTTTGTTCCCTGCTAAAACAAAGTTTGTGAATTCAGTTAAATAATTGTTAAAATATATCTGTCATTTGTGTGTTTTTAGCTTCCTTTCTGTATGGAAAGCTTTTCAAAATTTAAAACATTAGCGCAGTGGTTTATGTTAAAATAAACCTTTGGGTTAAATTGTCGCAAGCAGGTTTTTCTTGTGTTTCTTGTTAATTAGGTTTTAAATTTTTATTTCAAGTGGCATTAAAAAGTCTTAAAAAGTCTTGAATTTAACTTGCCTTATGCTGTAGGAACCCTGTCTTCAAGCCACATGGTTAAAAAATGCGTCAGAAAAGATCTCCTACTGCACCTTTAACTAGATAAGGATTCTGCAAAGTTTTCTCTGAGTTTCATTGGTGGCTGATAAATCTGCTGGCTGGTGTCTCTTAGGGTCTGCAGTGCAAAAAATGGAAATCTAAATAAGTCATTTTTTCTTAAACTAAGTGCATTTGTTCTTGAATAGAGGAGGTGAGATACTTTGCCAATGGAACAAGACAATTTACATTTAAAATAAGAAAAAGCAACCGCATTGTCTTATTTCAAGTGGATATTATCTAATAATCTTATTTTAAGAGTAAAAATACTAATTCCATTGGCAAATCATCCCATTTACCTACTAAAATGAAGGTTAAATATGCTTGATTTAAGTCATTTTTACTTATTTCTAGACCATTTTTGCAGTGTGTGCACTAAAAAAACGATCTAGGCATAAGTAAAAATTTCTTAAAGTAAGTGCATTTACCCTTAATTTTATTGCAAATGGAATGAGTATTTTTACTCTTGAAATAAAATAATTAGATAATATGCACTTAAAATAAATGCAATTGTGTTTTATTAATTTAAGTTTAAATAATCTTGTTACTTTGGCAAAATATCTGTTTTACCTCCTCAATCCAAGAACAAACGCACTTATTTTAGAAAAAAAAGACCTATCTAGATTTAGATTTTTTATAGTGTGGATGGTGTTGGAGCTTTTTCTTTTTCTCTGATATTTCAGGATAAGCGTCTCGGCCAACCAGAGGATCATCGCTCTGCCGCACGACAACCGCCAAGTCCGCCTCTTTGACATGAGTGGAGTGAGGCTGGTCAGACTTCCTCGCAGCAACCGGATGGTAAGGAGAGAACCACGCAGACCAGAACCGACCTGCAACCCCCATTTATTTTTATTCATTTACCCGTTTGCTTTCCTGCAGGGCCACAGGCGGATGGTGTGCTGCACGGCGTGGAACGAGGAGAACCAGGCGTGCAACCTGTTCACCTGCGGCTTCGACCGGCAGGCCATCGGCTGGAACATCAACATCCCCGCCCTGCTGCAGGAGAAGTGATCGGACCCATCCGCACGTTCTAAACCCTGCGGCCTCAGACACACCAACACAGTCGTCCTGCGACCCACATTTCAAGGGGGTTAAAACTCACCGTTACTGCAGCTGGTGCGCGTGAGGCCGTAAATCCGACCTTGTCATCCGGACTCCCTCTATGTTAGCATGGACTGTGATTTGTGCCAATTTTTGTGTGGAAATACACGTTTGACCCCGCTGCATCCTTCACTGTTGTTCAGTTACTGCCAAACCGCTCCTCCTGCATGCAGATAACCTCAGTTTGCGAACGTCGCTCCAAAAGCAGGTGGAGAAATCCTTCACAGTGCAGCACAGTGTGTATGACGTGTGTGTATATGATGACGTGGCCTGATTATGTGACGGATCCGGCGTCTTATCCGCCCTGTGGGTCGTTTAGGTCGCACCTGCAGCGTTTCTAAACCATTTGTCTTAAAGATGACAGACGCCCCGTCGATGCTTTTCACAGTTAGCCTTTTACGTCTCTGTTACCCTGTTACTTGCCTTGTCCTTGTTTACATTGGATCTTTTTTTTTATTTATGTACGGAAACAGATTTATTCTGCCGGGATGAAGAGGCGTTCAAGAGCGAAGCAATAATGGGGAAATGATCGCACTTAAATCCCCACAGTAGCCTGTGAATGGGCCGTTGTTCGCCGTCTCTAGAAAACCCAACATGTTGCTGCTTTAGCCGTCCACGCTCTGCCTGGTGTGTCGGTGACCTTTACGGTGCAGCTGAGCCGTTTGCTTACAGTCGTCATGCGTTAACTACTAAAGTAGAGAGACTTTTTCTCTCTGGCTAGATGTCTGAACGCTCCTCTGGGAGGTGTTGGCAGAGCCTGTTTAGACTGTTTGGTTTTCTTGCACAAACCTTGAGAGAAATGTAACATTAGCCTGCTTTATCCGCCTGTTTGGGATGATCGTCCTGTCGGGATGCTTAGATTTTGTCACCCGTCTGGACCCAAACCAGAACCTGCTGTGTGAGTTTAACATCAGTATGTAATGAGAGGGTTCTGAACATGAAAGATAGCACAAATTAGGTAGGGGGATGAACTCTTTAAGGTGGACCCTGCTGAGTTACTGACAGGGAAATTATCCCAAACCAGGGGAAGCTGGTTTATAGGAACCAGAATCCATTTTAAAAATTAATGAAATTCTTCATCTTTGTGCCAGAAAACCAACCAGTTAACGAGTCCTTTATTGTTTTTAATAAGGGTGAAAGCTCATCCAACAGGAATTATGCCAGAATGTTGTTGAGATGTCATATAAAAAACAAAACCTTAGAGAAAATCTACAGTAAGGTCAGACAGTAGTTTTAGAAATTCCTTTTACTTTGGACGTATCTGTTCATGCTGGATAAGGAAAAGCAACCGTGGCAGTAGGTAAACTTCCGACTGCCGTTGGCCTCCATCCTGTTTCCGTCGCCTCACTGGCTGTTTGTTGCTGTAAATCATGAGCCCAGAATGAAGCTACTGGTTACTGTTAGTGTGTGCTTCAGTGACCCCCCGTCTCCCTCTGCAGTGACCCTTAGCTCGGTACATTGGTACCTTTTTTATTTTTCTTTCTTTAAAAGATGGAAGCAAAACTGAGCTTTCACTGTTACTCATTCTCAGAGTGAGGATTTTTTTTTTTAATAGGTGACTGCGTCTTTAAAAGATGCTAAATCTGAGTCGTCGTCAGGTTCTGCGCTCGACCCGGTTCTTCCTAATGCTGTTTGTTACATGTGCAATGTGCTGAACTGAAGTTACGCTGTTGTCTTTGACCTCCTCCAGGTGTTTAACTTATTCCAGTGCTGTAAACCCAATAAAAGCGCCTGTGTGTAACATCACTGCTGTTTCCTCCAACAATAGAAACCAGGAGATATTTAAAAGTAGCATGAGCCTGGACGTGTGGGAATTTAATAATAATAAAGAAAAGCCTTACTACTGCATGGAGGACGGAGTCTGAGGATGGGGGGAGACGCTCCTCCACACCTTCAATAACTTATTGTGCTTCACAGCTCAGCAGATAGGTTTGCTTTTACTGTTTCATCAGGAGAACTCGTGCCCGGCGGTATCGGTGTCCCGTTACCCCGCCGTTGGAACGGCGAGTCCGAAGCGCTCGCCTCTTCTGAATATAAAGCTGAAGAAAATCAGATTTTTGGATTGATACATTAAATTACAGACTGCAGGAGGATAATCTAGGTTTATAAGGCGGATCAGCCGTGGCTCACTGTAGTGAATTTATATTCACCTCCATTATGTGATCTACTTTGCATACTTTATTGTGATGGCTTTGTGCTCTCTGACTCTTTCCAATAAAAAGATGTGATTTCCTTTTCCACTCTCACATCTGTCTCATCTTATTCATCGGACTTTTTTGATTCAGTTCAGCCAGGCGCTTATCTCTCTGAAAGTTACGTTTTATTCAGTCTGGAACCTCAGAATGTCTGCTCTTAATGAGAATGAATCCATATGAACAAAACTTATACGGTTCTTATTAAATTTGGGTTAAAAAAAAAATGAAAGGAGGAGAAATAGTTTTGTATTATAGTTCAGTAACTTGTAGAACCACAGTGACCCGATTCTGTCCTTTTCCAGCCCTGACGGCTGTGTTTGGGATCAGCTTTTATAAACCATCAGCCAATGAATAAATCACTTATAGAACCCCCTAAAGCAGTTGCTATAAGTAGCCTAATGGATGCCAGATAAACCCGTATCATTAGCCGCCACCACTGTGCTTAGCAGCTGCAACATCTACTGTAATTCCAAACTATGTTTTGTCCTGCTAGACATGCTGTTTTTGTTATTTCACATAATTTTGGTATTCAAGTGTCAAGTTTTAATAAAAATACCCCAATATTAAGCTAGATGCACAGTTTTACTCCATTTGGGACCTCAGATCAGTTGCAAAGTAAACTGACTTGTGTTTTAATTTAATGTTTCGCTTATTTATTACAGGTTGATTTATTTTTCCCTACAGTTTAATTCTTTTTTTATTGAGGCATAGCTATTATAGTTTAAAGCTTTATATACTGTATTATATATTATAATGCAGAACATTTTATTCTGTGAAGTCGTCAGTTATTATCTGATATCTGACTTTGCTATCAGTGTTTACTTAAAATAAGTGATTCTCTTTGTTGAATCCCATCATGAGAGAAACTGGTAAAAACATCCAAAATGTTACAAATAAATTGGTGGCAAATGATAAGACTTTAAGCAAATTTTAAGGTATTTCAAAATGTTTTGTTAAGGGCTCTTCCTGTAAGTAATTCAAGCTAATAGCAACAAATTTCTCTTTCCTCTATGCTTTCAAATAGTAGAGAAAATGTTCCCAGAAGGAATCAATCCAGTGGATCTAGGAACAGCATTGCGCTGATGTTGATAAGTTACTGATTTAAAATCAAGAATTTTGGTTATTTCGGCTAGCTTGAATCTCGCCTTTTAGTACGTGTGGTTTTAATGAGATACAATAAATCAATACATTTCCCTTATGTGTTATGTTTTGTTTAGGTATAACGGATGCTAGACTCTGGGGCTGCTGCTGGACTTCATTGATCCTTCTTGTTGTTTTAGAAAAATCTAAACCCTGAATAAAAACATCAAACATTGGGTATAGTTTATATCTATGGTGCCTTTGCAAGGGCTTTGCAAGACATAAGAAAATAAAGCCTAAAAGTGAGATTAAAGTGAGTAAAAGAAAATGTAAAAAATACATCCATTATGACAAATGTAAATCTGATTTTAGATCAAGCTATGTTTTATTTTGATATATGGTATAAAGATCTAGTCCTTAACGTCACGGTTATATCAGGAAAACAGGTAATTTGTGAGATTCTTTAAATAAAGCTGCTGTTAAAAGAAATAACAGAACAAATCCCTGATTTACAGGATGTTTCTGCAAATCTCAAGTTACTTTTAGAGCTGAAGAGGAAGAATAAAAACTGAAATTTATTAACTTCACATGGAGAAATGTACCTCTGCATTTAACCCATCCCTTTGGGGAGCAGTGGGCTGCCATTGTGCAGCACCCGGGAAGCAATGTGGGGTTAAGGGTCAGGTTCAGGCTGTGGGGATTGAACCAGGTGCTTTCAATCTTCTCAGAGCACAAGCGCACTGCTCTAACCCACTAGGCCATCACTCCCCGAAAAAGAATATGAATGCTGCCAATCCTTGTTTACCTTTAAGGTGCACTAAGTTAGTTGACCTCTAAAGATGCAAATGACTACTCAGTTCATTCATTTTAAGAAGGATTTTAGTCCGGCACCATTTATCCCTTTTACTGACAAATGAGCATTTTAATAGATTCTTTGACAAACAGGGAGCCGGAGCAGTGCTTTATGAATTGTTGCAATATGATTAATTACAACTGTTCAGCAGCATGGTGCAAAATAAAGCATACATTAGTTTTTCTGAAAAATCTTTGTTATGACACTGACTTAAAAATAAAGTAGAAATAGTTAGGATTTAGATCCAAGTCCAAAATAAAACCAACTTCTGCTTCTTTCAGTTTTTTTTTTTTTTTTTTTGAGTCTAGGTAAGCACAGATATTGGTCACTGCATTTTTGGGACATAATTATTATAGCATGGTCACCCCTATAGTGCACACAGATAGAAATGAGTGTCGTCATTTTGGAGAGGTCGCATTTGGAGTTAAATCTAAGTGGCTTGAATGTGGATCCTTGAGGAACCCAGTTTAGTTTTACTCACAGAATTATAAATACCAAATGAAACAAAGCAATCCCCCTCTGTCATATACCATCTGAGTTAGTTTGCCACATTAATTACAATTCTCACCAGTGCTGTGGTGTGGTTCAGAAAACTGAGGAGAGTAGGTTAATAAATGGGCTTTTTATTGATCTTATTGAGGAGTGTTAAACTGGATACCAGCAAGTGATCATTTATTGACGATTCCAGGTTTAGTTTCTAGAAAAGAGATTTTCATGCTTCATTTCTTCATGGATGCATAACTAGGGTCACTATACTTATCAAGATGACGCAATGATGATCCAGGCAGCTCAGACATCAGTTGATCTGAGGAGAAAACCTGTTCTGCTCGTCTTCAATTCAATTCAGTTTATTTATATAGCGCCAATTCCCAAAACACGTCATCTCAAGGCATTTTACAGTTCACCAGATCATATGTCTTGTTCTCTGAATTTAGTCGAGAAGTCTTTGACATTTGTCTTAATTTAGTGATCATGTTTAATTAAATTTATCCAACTTGGCAGTACTGTAACCATCAATATATATATATATATATATATATATATATATATATATAAGAAGAGTTATATGTGTATATATTTATATTTAAATCATCTTGTGTGGTTTGTTGTAAATATATATATAAAACATTTTTTGCATCTGGAGCATGTAACAAAAGTAATTTCCCTCAGGGATTATTAAGGTATTTCTGATTCTGATATATTAATAAAAACAAAACAAAAAAAAATCAAAAAGGACTAACAGAAACGTTTTATTTTGTACTCATTTAAAAATCTAAATTTGTCCCTTGGCTTAAGGGGTCATAGAATGATTCTTTATAGTTTATTTGATGCTGGTCCTTCAGGTCTCTGAATAGAGTGTGTAACATAGGTTGGGCTAAAAATGGCATATTTGCTGTTCTATGCGCAGTAATCCAAGAGTTAGATGAGCTGTGCGCTGATTGGTTGGTTTCCAACGAGTAAAGCTGCTGAGCAAAGACGCATCATAGCAACAAGCACTCACTCACTGAAACATCAAACTGTTGATATTCTAGCATTGCTATCAACAGCTTAGCGACAGAATCATACTTCCAGCTTGCGGTTGTGATGGCCTTACGGTGGGAAAAGCCCCTCGTTTCAGTAAAAGAAGTTTAGCAAATACTGCTTTGAACCTTTACAAGATTTTGAAAGCTTGTCTTCGGTAAAACGCATAGAGCAAATGAACAGCTGAGCATCAAACTTTACAGGGATCTTCTGTGAAAATGTTCCCCTTTCTCCATGCTGCGTGGAACACTGCATTGACATAGTTCTGGCTCATTTTCAATAGAGAAACATCCTGCTTTGTAATTCTTGTAGAAGTAAACCCAACGGTAGGATAAACAGCTAAACTGCTGTCTTACATCGACCTCTATTCATGCTCTTGGGCCTTTGAACCAGTGGGCTGGTCTGAATGTCAATTTCAGGGCGGGGCAAAAGTACAGGCCAGAACCAAATAAGGCAACATCCCTGAGTTTGGATTCGCCTGTTTTATGGTGGAAGTTTAGAATTGTGAGATTTGCAGAGAAAGG